TCATCGACAGAGAGAAGGTACTAGAAGCAAGAGAGAGGAGGAAAGGCTTCCTGTTAGAAGGTGGGATTTTATCTAGAGCTTAAAGGAAGCCAGGGCAGCGGGGAGGTGGAGATGAGGGAGAGAATTCCAGCCACAGAGGGAGAGCCAGTGAAAATTGCCTGACTTGGGAAGTGGGAATGGAACGTCTTGTTTGGGGCATAGCAAGGATGTCACTTATAGAGTGTGACAGAGGATTCTGTGAGGGTGCAGGTTGGACTAGACAGACAAGGGGACCCTTTCCCTTCTGAGATTCTGTGAGCCAAACCCCCATTTTAGAGATGAAACTATGAGGCTCAGAGAGGGCCCCTGTACCTGGGACATAATACGACATGTTTGTTTGTAATAGGCATGTTTGTGTGTATGCCACATACCATCGCATGAAAATGCAACCCACTGGAAATCTCTTTAGAACTTGGATCCATCCTGAATTTATTGGAAGTTGCATCCAGTAGGTTTGATGGTCTGTTCCCTGGTTAGGCGTGGCATAGCACTGGATCCCTGGACTTCACACACTGGAAGTACCTGCTGCCCTTGGGACCTCTCCCTCTGATTGGCTGGTTCCCCCTAGAACCTCCGTTTGAAGGCAGAGGGCCAACCCTGTCTTGCTTCCTTTCCAGCCTCCACTCCTGACTATCCCACACTTTCTGTACAATGGCACCACCATGGGTACCTATCCCCTTTTTGGCTCCCTTTATTTTTTTAAACTATTTTATTTTATTTTTAATTTATTGAATAAAACACTAATTTCCACAACATAGTGCAATAAAAAAGATGATTGCACATGAAACTGCAAATCTACTATGCACAACTTGCTATTCCTTCCAAATATACAATATTATCATGTAAATTTCTTTTTCTTCCCCCCCCACCTCTCCCATTGGCTACCATTAGACAGAAATAGGTATGTGTAATATATATGTATGCATGTATGTATATATATGTGAAATTACTCTGTACATACTCTATTTATCACGTCTTTCTCTGGATGCAGATAGTGTCGTCTTTCCTAGGTCCTTTGTAGTTAATTTGAGTATTTACAATAGTCAAAATGACACTCATTCAATGTTGTTCTTAAAAGAATATTGCAGTTACTGTATAGAATGTTTTCTTGGTTCTGCTCATTCCACTCTTCATTATTTCATGCAAGTATGTCCATGCTTTTTTAAGATCATTGAGCTCATCATTTCTTATAGCACAATAGTATTCCATCACAACCACACACCACAACTTGTTCAGCCATTCCCCAATTCATTTCTCATTCTCATTCAAAGTTATGTGTTGTTTTCCTCATTAGAATGTAAGCTCCTTGAGGGAAGGCACTGTCCTTCTTTCTGCTTGTATTTGTATTCTCAGCACTCAGCCCAGGGCCAGGTGTCTAGTAATTGTTTAATAAATGCTTGCTGAGTTGACATTTTGATATTCTTAATGGATCTGTGATCTCACTGATACACCGTCTGTCCGATGGTGTAGGTCACAACCAAACTGTGCCTGCCTAGTTTGTGTGACCCTTACCCCCTCTTCCCCAAAACTGCCGTGTCCACCCGATATCCTGAGCACCTTTCCCTAGACCTCTGGGTCTTAATGCGGTGTGGTTACCGACGGGTGCTGTCCATCCGTACTTGGCCTCATGCCCAGCCTACCTCAGGTCACTCATCTCCTTCATACCATCCTTTATCCTACTTCTTCTAAGTGGTTCCATCTGTATGTGGGACATGTGGCAGTGGCTCACATTGGCTGTAAGCTTGCGTCTCTGTTGTCTTTGGGTGACTCTCCATGTTAAATCTCTGCGGCTATTTGTTGTTTCAGTCGTGCCTGACTCTTTGTGACCCCATTTGGGGTTTTCTTGGCGGAGATATTGGAGTGGTTTGCCATTGGCTTCTCCAGATCATTTTAACAGTTGAGGAAACTGAGGCAAACAGGTTAAGTGATTTGCCCAGGGTCACGCAGCTGGGGAGTGTCTTCCCGAGGCCAGGCTGGGCGCTCTGTGCACTGTGGCGTGCCACCTAGTGGGCCTCTTGCTTCCTAATGTGCCTTTAATCTCTCCCTCTGTGACTGACAGACCTTTCTCCCTTCAGGCTCCCAGGTGCACCCCTGTCAATTCTGAGCCTCAGGTTTCTTGTGCCTTCAGCTGAGGCTTTTCGTCTTCGCTCATTAGAGAACTCGAGTCACAGAAGCAAGACCCAGCACATATATTTGCACTAAGATTCTCCCCAAGTGCTTTACATATGGTATCCCAGCCCTTTGAGCTACAGGCTATCTGTGGTCCCATTTTACAAGCAAGGTAGCTGAGGCGACGAGAAATCCAGGGACTGCCCAGTCACACAGCTAGTAAACGTCTGCGTCAGAATTCGCACTCAGGTCATCCCGATTCTACCTCAGTGTTAGCGCATAGACTTGGAGTTGGTTGGAACCAGGGGTCATCTAGTTCACTTTACGGATGAGGACCCTGAAGAGGAGAGCGGTGACATGCAGGTCGAGGTCAGGAAGGCCATGAGGCTGTGGTAGAGTTGAGATTCGAACCCAGGTCTGGAAAATTGGGCTCCCTGGCATAACTCTAACCCTCTTCTCTCTACACGTTGTCAGGCAGGACACCCCCCTTTTTTCTCTCTCCCTCCTCCTCCTCCCCTTCTCTCCCCCCTCTCTTTCTCTTGCTCTTCTTTCTTCTCTCTCTCTCACCTGTCTTTTTTGCTCTCTCTTCTGTCTCCCAACATTTGTCTGTCTGTCTGTCTTTCTGTCTCTTCTTCCTCTTCTCTTGGAATCAGGAAGACCTAAGTTCACATCCAGTCCCAGACACTTACTAGCTGTGTGACCCTGGGCAAGTCACTTCACCCTGTTTGCCCCAGTTTCCTCATCTGTACAATGGAAATAATAATAGCACCTACCTACCGCTGTTGTTGCGAGGATCCAGTGAGGTAATAATTGTAAAGTGCTCAGCACAGTGCCTGGCACATAGTAAATGCTATATAAATGTTAGTTATTATTATTCCCTCTCTCTCTCTCTCTGTCTCTCTCTCTCTGTCTCACACACACCACAAACAATATTGAACTGTATATATATTCCCCCAATTACATGTTGAAAGTTTTTCACTTGTTTTTTTAAGTTTTGATTTCCGTATTCTACCCCTCCCTCCCCTCCCCCTCCCTGAGACGGTAAGCAGTCAGATATAGGTTCTACATGTGCAATCATGTGAAACAGAGCTAGATGTTTAAAAGTGAAGGGGATGGTTAAATAAATTGTGGCCTATTAACATGACAGAATACCAGAATACAGCTGAGGTTCTGAGTCTGAGGAATGTAAAGGTGCCTCCACACTCCCCTGACCCCCAGTGGTGGGGACCCAGCAGAGCAGGAGGCCTGAGCCTATGTCTGGCTCTGGGGGGAGGGACTGTCCAGCTCACAAGTGTCCTGGCTCCTTCCCTCTGCCCCCCACTTCACCAATATCCAAAGGCCTTGTGCAGAGCCAGCAGCGCAGACTGAGCGTGAGACACGAGATGACCTTTTGGGGCACCGTCCTACGACTGCAGCGAGGTGTCAGGGTTTGCTGGGCCTGGTCACCTATTCAGGATGCAGCTGCAGCTCCCCAGGGGTCTCTGGCCAGCCTCGATGCCCTTTGGCCTAGGAGGGCGCTGGGGGAAGGGGGTGGCCCAAGGTCACCAGGTGCACCGTGGGCCACCCTGTGCTCTGCCCGTCATGGGCTTTGGGCATCATTCAAGCTGGGGGCCCAAGGGGTTCCTCTGTTTGGTTCAAAACCTGGGGAGGTGTTTCCCCATCATGGGCTGACAATTGACGCAGCTTCCTCAGGTGTCCTGAGGAGCCCCACATGAATCTGAACTTTAATCTCCACACACCCCAACTACTTTCCTGCCCCAGTCTCCCCGCTCCCATCCCTCCTCCTCTCGGCTATCCACAGCCCTCCTGCCCACTCCCTCTCCGCATTTCCATTTTGCCCCCAGACTCTGATCTGGTGACTTTGGCCTCGTGGCTGGTCCTCCCATGAGACCCGCCATCACCCTGGGCTCTGGGCCTTCTCTCTGACTGACTGCCGTGCCTGGAACGCTCTCCCTCTTAGTCTCCACCTCTGACTTTCCTGGCGTCCTTCGAGGCCCGAATCAAATCCCACCTTCTATGCAAGCCTTTCCCAGCCCTTTGCAGTGCTCCTCTCCTGCCCCCATGGACCATCTCCAGCTCCTCCTGGCTTTATCTTGTTTGCACATGGTGGTTTGCATGTTGTCTCTCTGTTAGATTGTAAGCTCCCTGAAGGCAGGGACCGTGGTTCTGTTTTCATGTTTGTGTCCCCCGCGCTTAGCACAGTGGCTGGCACATGGTAGGAACTTCAAAATTGTTTATTGACAGACATCAACACTGGTTGATGGTGGTGACACCTGGGAGAGGCTGGAGTACAGGCCAAAGAATCTGGGCTTTACAGTCAGAATCGGGGTTCAGATGCCACCATCACTACCTTGGAGACCCCCAACATCGCTTCACCTGCCTCAGCTTCAGTTTTCTGATTTGTAAAATGAGGGCTTTGGACGGGGTGGCCTTTGACATCCTCGCAGGTCCCAGTTGCTGACCCCGGGCCTGGCCCAGGAAGGAGGCCAGAATGAAGGCGCAGTCGGCGATAGAGTCTGGGCGTTACAGAGGGCTGGCATTATGTCCAGCCTGGATGCTACTTCCGCTCCTCCCATTTGCTAGGGTGAAGGGAGAACGGGGTCAAAGAGACTTCGAGGGGCTCCCCAGCTCCTCCTCCTAAGGAGGTCTGGGCCTGCAGTGTGCACATGCGTGTTTCTGTGTGTGTGCACCCATGTACGCATGTGTGTACAGGTGTATTGCTGCGGTTGGTGATGTTCTCCGTGGCTACAACATTCGTCATCGAGGTTCCTGCCCCACCCTGACATTTTCCTGCCTGTTTAGTTTCAATTTTACTGAGATTTCTTTTCTTCTTTTTTTTTTTTTTAATGCAGGGGAACCAAGGACATATGACCCGGAGTTCAGAGGACCTATTTATAAAAGGTGAGCATCTCCACCACTCTGGTTTGTTTCTCTACATCAGGGGTTCTTAGACTATTAAGCAGCGTGGACCCCTTGGGTGGTCCGTGAAGCCTACGGTTGCCTTCTCCTAGTAATGTTTTTAAAGACATGAAGTAAAACGCACAGGATTATCAGTTATCACCCTATTTTAAAACTCGCAGTTCACCAGCCCTAGGTTACTAACTCTTGTTGAGCGAAGCCCCACGTGGCATGGTTTGGGGGTGTGTGCAGGGGTGCGTGTGTGTGCACGCTTTTGTGGTGCCCACTTCAATGAATGCAGAACCATTTGGATTGTTCAGAGGTGATAGCTCCAGTTATTTCACCTCATTTACCTGGAGAAGGTGCCCAGACGCACGAGCCGCTGGCTCTGTCAGGAGGCCAGAGGAGTTGTGTGTGTCAAAAAACGAGCATCATGAGCCTTAACAGCTTTGTGGAGCACCGCCGATACTGCCAGCCCCTGTCCCTGCATCCTGTTGCATGAAGACCCCTGGGCCACCAGATCCAAGCAGCCCCTGCCCACAGACTCCCCTTCCTCAGCACCCTCTGGAGACCTTCCTCAACGTTAGAATGCACTGGGAAATGAGGCATTTTTCCTCTTCTTCTCTCTCTCTGTCTCTGTCTCCCTCTCTCTCTCATTCTCTCTTTCTTCTCTCTTCTCTCATTCTCTCTCTGTCTTCTGTCTCTCATTCTCTCATTCTCTCTCTGTGTCTCTCTCTCATTCTATCTCTGTCTCCTTCTGTCTCTCTCTCATTCTCTCTCTGTCTCTGAGTCTATCTTCCCTCTCTCTTTCTCTCTCATTCTCTCTCTCTCCCTCTCCCTCTCCCCTTTGTCTCTCTCTCTGTCTCCCTCTCCCTCTCCCCTTTGTCTCTCTCACTCTCTCCCTCTCCCCTTTGTCTCTTTCTGTCTCTCTCTCTCCCTGTCCCTCTCCCCTTTGTCTCTCTGTCTCTGTCTCTCTCTCCCTCTCCCCTTTGTCTCTTTCTCTCTCTCTCTCTCCCTCTCCCCTTTGTCTCTCTGTCTCTGTCTCTCTGTCTCTCTGTCTCCCTCTCCCCTTTGTCTCTGTCTCTCTCTGTCTCTGTCTCTCTCTGTCTCTCTGTCTCTCTCTCCCTCTCCCTCTTCCCTTTGTCTCTCTGTCTCTGTCTCTCTGTCTCTCTCTCTCTCTCTTCCCTTTGTCTCTCTGTCTCTGTCTCTCTCTGTCTCTCTGTCTGTCTCTCACTCTCCCCTTTGTCTCTTTCTCTCTGTCTCTCCCTCTCCCCTTTGTCTCTCTCTCTCTGTCTCACTCTCTTTCTCTTTCTGTCTCTCTCTCTCTCTCTCCCTCTCCCCTTTGTCTCTCTCTGTCTCCTTCTCTCCCTCTCCCCTCTCTCTCTCTTTCCTCTTGAGGTCTTATGGCATTTAAACATGTCTGGAGCCATTCATGGCCCCCTGGTGATTTTCTTCTTCTTTCTTCACTTTGCCCTCAATTCCTGAGCATGTGACTTTCCCACTGTGGGGCTGGAGAGGAGAGAGATGAAGGGAAGCCAATGTGGACCCAGGACCATTTGGAAGGGTTGCCTGGCGTGAGACGTGAAGCTGGCTCCCCTGTTGAGTTCAGGCCATAAGTGTGTAGGCGGCGTAGGTCACGTTTCGTGGTACCATTCCAAGCGTGTTGGAAAGCCTAGGGGAAGGGCATCACCTGGGTCACAGATTTGAGCTGGAAGGAGCCTCAGAGGCCTTCTCAGAGACGGAGGCTCATGGAGGCTGAGTCTCATATCTGGCAGTCAGGGACAGGCCCTCTGACTCCAGAGACAGCGCTTTCCCCACTACTCTCCACTCCCTCAGTGTTCAGATGCGTCTCTAATGCCTGCCGCTTGAATAAAGCTGAGGGTCCTCTTTGCTGGCCAGTGGACAAATGGCTTGATGGGACCCCTAGATGTGGAGCTAGATGAGACCTTGGACGTTTGAGGAGATCAATGGCCTCATTTTCCAAAGGAACTGGGACAAGGGCAGCATCAGTGGACAGAGGCTGGGTTTGGGGTCAGGAAGGCCCAAGTTTGAGTCCTGCTTCTGACCCCTGAGCTGCGCCACTTTGTTAAGTTAATCAGTTGACAATGGATCTATAAGGAGCCTTCTGTGTGCCAGGCCGCCTTTCCAGGGAAGTCTCTCTGAGGCCCCTCTGTCCATGCATGGGGGCCGCCTCCCTGGGAAGCCCCCCCACACCACTGAAATAACAGGTCAAGACCCAACTGGGGTGGGAGGGAGACAGGGAGAAGTGGGCCCGTCTCACTTCACAAGATCCTGGACTTCAGGTTCCCAAGCCCTCATTTACAGATGAGGTAACAGAGGCCCAGAGTAACTGGCCCGCAGATGCACAGGTGGGATTTGAATGTGGATCCTCAGGCTCCAGGGCCAGGTTTTCGTTATTATGCCGAAGGCTTGGCAAACTTTAAACTGCAGTAGATGTGAACGTCGTGATTGTTATTACTGTCATTGCTGCTGCTCTTACTAACATTAGTCAGTTAATTAGCGAGCTTTCGTTAAGCAGGTGCTATGTGCCCACCCGGTGCCAGCCTCCGGGCGTATAAAGACAGTCCCAAGGACTGTGAGCGGTGATGGCGGCTCTGGCATGGACTGTTTCATGGTTAATCCCAGAGGACTGATTCATCTTTTTTCCCCCAAATCACTGATCACTTATTCCCTTTCCACAAGTCTGTGCAGCCTCCTGGGGCCTCCAGAGAGGAGCCATGCCCCACGGTAAGATAAAAGTCAGCTGCCACGGTTAGCGGAGGGAAAAAGACAGATGAAAGGTGTGTCATTTCTGGCTCTCAGAGAGTGAGGGATATGGGCTTTGTTAGCCCTGGATGGGGGAGGGTGGGAAATGTGGCGGGAGCCTGCAGACAGCCAGGGTTTAATGGTGGGGCCTGGCAGACCCGCCAGCGCCTTTATGACACAGGTCATTTATTTTTGCCGAGTTCCTTTCACGGAGGCTTTAGCCCCTGAATGGCTGTCAAAGGACAGAGAACCATTGTGTAGGAACGGGAGCACACATCAGGGCCTCAGTGTGGCAGCTGTTTGATGGCGCACTGACGTTGCCCCTCGAAGTTCAGGGAGGAAGGCACGAGCTGCTGGGACAAAGCAGCGGGGAGGACACAGTTACTGGCTGGGGAGGCTTCCAAGGCACCAGTCCTTGCTGCTTCTCCAGGTGGAAAGGGGCTGACTTGGTCTCCCCTCCTGCCTGCCGCAGGCGTACTTTAACAACACCACTGGCGCCTTCGAAATGAGAATGGCTTGGCCCTTCGGTGACAGCCAGCTTCCCGAACGCCTGCCAGTGAGATGTCTCTCGGTTTGGATGGAAGCTGGGCCCTGGAGGGAGCTGCTGGGGGAGGGGAGATGAGCCAGCTCGTTAGCTCCCCAGGCCTCGATTCAGCCCAGTACAAGAGTGTGCGAGGTCTAAGGAAAGGCTGGCCGGGCAAACCAGGCCAGGCAGAGAGCGGTTCTGTGACAGGGCTCACCAGCAAAGATGCTGCCCAATTAGAGCCCGGACCAGAGTTCTTAACCTTCTTCGTATCACGGGTGGCTGGTAGGCAGTCTGGGGACCCCTTCCTCAGACTAATGTTTTCCCGTATATAAAGTTAAATACACATGATTACAAAGGGAAGCCGTTACCGAAATCTATCTGTCTTCTATCTCTGTATCCATCCATCTATCTACACAAACCCCTGGTTAAGAACCCCTGACCTACACTTTGAGTAAAGAAAGAAAAATTCTTTCATTTTCCCCTAGAGCACTCTGGCTTGACCTAGCCACTCTGGGATTCTTTAATGAATGAGCCCATTTTCAATTCTCTTGGTTGTCAAGCCCCCTCCTCCTCCCCCAGCTCCTCAGGGAAAGGGGCACAGTGCCCACTTCTAGGCATCAGTAAATTCTTTTCACTTCTTCCTTCCCCCTTAGGCCCACACCTCCTGCTAAACCTCCTCAGACTGGAGATGAACACATATGCTGCCATTTTGGACATAACCCTTAGTCTCTGATGAATACATAAATATGAGACATACAAAAAAGCAAATTATCGAGGTGGCACTAACAACAGTTTCAGCCTCTATGGCTTTTTGAAGGTGGGAATTTCACCTTGAAGATTGGGGTTGGGAATGCCAAAGGTGAAGTGGGGGAGGGGAGAAGAGGATTTCAACCCAGGTGAAGCCCCAGCCCCAGAGGTGTGCTGATAATGTTTAACAACAGGCTCTCTGAAAACACATGTCCACAGGACACATTTTTAAAAATTTTATTATACATACATGTATAATTTCCCCCAATTACGTTAAAATAATTTTAAAAGTTTTTTTTAAAGTTTTGAGTTCCAAGTTCTCTCCCTCCCTCCCCTCCCCCATACTTGAGACAGTTTTAGTCATTTTGTACAAGAAGACTTGAATAAAAGAAAAAGAATGAGAGAAAGTGAAAGCTAGCCTGCTTCAGTCTGTATTCAATCAATATCATTTCTTTCTCTGGAGGTGGATAGTATGCTTGCTTCATCATTAGTCCTTTGGGATTGTCTCCGATCATTGCATTGCTGAGAAGAGCCAAATCTAACAAAGTCAGTCATCACACAACGTGGCTGTTACTGTGCACAACGTTCTCCTGGTTCTGCTCACTTCACTCAGCATCTGTTCATCTAAGTCTTTCCAGGTTTTTCTGAAATCACCCTGCTTGTCATTTCTCATAGCACAATAATATTCTATCACAATCATGTACCACAGTTTGTTTAGTCATCCCTTTGGTTTCCAATTCTTAGCCAACACAAAAAGAGCTGCTCTAAATATTTTTGTACATATGGGTCCTTTTCCCATTTTGGGGATATCTTTGGGATACAGACCTAGCAGTGCTGTAGCTGGATCAAAGGGTATGCACATTTTTATAGCTCTGTGGGCATAGTTCACAGTACACATTTTAAAGTTTCATCTGAATTATTAGCATTTTGGCCACCATGTTAAGTGTAGACAGTCAACAAAACA